GTCGCGCGACGATGCCGTCCGGCCGGCCGCCGCGGAAGAGCAGGCGCGCGTTGGACTGCACCCAGAGCCAGCCGGCGCGCTTGGTGAGCAGCCGGAACACCGTGAGGCCGCTCTCGCCCGTCCTCATCACTGCGGAGAGAGACACGGGCTCGCGCGCGGGAGGAGGGACAAGGGACGAGGGCGCAGGCGGGCTGCGGGGACAGGGCTGCGGGGAGGGGCGGCGCCGGCCCTGAGGCGCCTCCCGGACTCACTGCGCACGTGGTTCTCAGCACAGTACATCGTGTCTGCCGCGTGGATGAACTGGTAGCCCGATCCCCTCCTGCAGAGCTCGCTCTCCGTGTAGCCCAGAATCACCTTCCCTCTGTGCAGTGGAGACGTCGCACATCCTCGTCTTTCGGCCCCTCAGTGGAGTGCCAAAGAGAACGGAAAGCCACTGGCCCCCAACCCCCAACGGTTTGCATATCTCCCCACAGCTTCCTCTGAAGCAGGCCTCTCAGCCCTGCCCTGCACCTACCCATCGAACCTCATTCTGTCAAGGGGGAATTTTTCCTGGGCCCCCTCTGGGCACTCCAGGTCCAGGAAGGGCACCTCTCCTACCAGCAAGGCTGGGGCAAGAACTTTAAGGGGCCTCCACATGGGAAGGAATGTGGTGCCCCCTCAGACATTCCTGCCACCATGTAATTCAAAATTGTGCTTTAAGCCTGTGCTGAAAAGCAGAGGAGTTCCTGTCCTAGGGACCTCTGAAACTGTAAACAAAATTGTGCAAAAGTGTGGAAGAGCAAATGGAGTTTTTGTTAAGAAGTTCCACAGCTTTCATCAAAGGGCTCTGGGACGCCCCAACATATTAAGGACCAGTGTATTAGAGGAGAAGATAAACTTGAAAGTCATACTACTAACAGTACATTGGGTCACTTCCTCTTAAGTCAATGTTTTCTACAATGTGTTCTAAGAAACACTGGTATTGTAGCATGTTAATTGATGTTCTCCCAAGAAAGATTCCATGGTCAAGTGAGTTTGGAAACAACTGGGTCAAACCTAGATAATTAGATTTCTTCACAGTGGGATTTCTTGGGGCTTCACTATAATCTGTTAATGGGAGTCTCCAAGAGGTAGATAGGTTTTTCCCAGGATTTGCTCTCTGTACTGCAGTCTAACCAAACACCATATTCTACATGGAAGATTTGGTACACTGCCGCATAAACACAGCATATTTTCTACTGACTTATTTCACAGAACCCATTTTTAAGGATTGGGCAATTGTTCTTGCCTTTCATTTGGTCCTACTTCACTATAATCTGTTAATGGGAGTCTCCAAGAGGTAGATAGGTTTTTCCCAGGATTTGCTGTCTGTACTGCAGTCTAACCAAACACCATATTCTACATGGAAGATTTGGTACACTGCCGCATAAACACAGCATATTTTCTACTTACTTATTTCACAGAACCCATTTTTAAGGATTGGGCAATTGTTCTTGCCTTTCATTTGGTCCTAGGCTCAGGATTTGGGCTACAACTAGTCTTGGAGCACTATTTTGTCCGTAGGAATCACGACTTCTGCTTAGATGGATATACCTGGAATCACAAGCTACAGGTGTGAAATCCAGTTTGTGTTTTGTTTGGAAAAGAAATGTTTTGTTTTGGAGCTCCAGGATGGTGAGAGGCTGACAGGGTGTCGCAATGGCAAACAGGGTGAGCTGAGGAGACAGGAGGATGCCATCTTCTGACTTATTGTTCTGCCCAGGGATGAATTTAAGATGGCCCTGGAAATTCAACTCCTGGAAAAAGAAGACCCCAAATATAATGAGTAAAGAGAATATAAGTAGCTAAAGCAGTGTATACAACTCCTCCCCTTCCCCAACACAGGTATGCAGAGGCCTAGAGCCTCCTTATTCTCTGCCCTACTGGCCCTGATAATTTTTCATGGCTCCTCAACCCTCCCTCAGGGCTCTGAGCCACAAATCCCTTTTCACAGAGCTTCAGAGCATAGCTTTAGCTATGAGCTGTGAGAGGGCGTGTAATTCCAGGTGAAGAATGTGGATGTTAACATCCTCATTTCACCAGGGACCCACACTTAGGGGCTGTACCAGAGGGTAACAGGTGTAACTAAATCCTGAGTAAACATGTTCCAAATCTTAACTAGGCAGAGGATGTTTCAAAAGACAACTCAGTCATCAACAGGCTGATCCTCTGAAATAGCAGTGAGCTGAAGGCCAGAGGACACTTCCTCGTGTGGTGAGGAGGCCTGGCCCAACTCTTGGGCAGTGTTCCACCACAGAGCCATACACCAGTTTAGGAAGTTTCTGACCCTGAAAAGACAACGTGATTACCAGAAACCCAGAAGAGTTATCCAGCAGGCAGCGGAACCGGCAGACAAAGCTTCTCTCCAGATAAGAGGGGTACTCCAAGGGCAGATGTTCCAGGCTGTCAGTGGTGGTGTCACAAAGTGGGAGGGACCTCTTCCCAGGCAGAGCTGGAAAGACATAGAGACAAACCAAGTAGACTCTACCAGAACAGTCATCATCACAGAATTGAAACATCTAGAGTTCTGGAAGCAGCTGGTAGGTGGAGAGAATATGAGGTCATAAGCCCTGTGGCCAAGTGAACTTTGGCTTTCTCCAGCAAGATGACTTTGATCAGCCACTCAGGTTGGCTTTCTCATTCATCAAATGATGCTAGCAGTCCTGCCTGCCTTCCTGCTCTTACAGTGTTGCAAGGATCGAGATAAAAACGAGATGATGTACAATAACATACAAGCATCCATCAACAACCCTGTTGAAATTTACCTTGGAGCCAACACTTCTCACCGCCTCCACCTCTACCATGCTGGCCAGTCTCCTTGTTATCAGATGAGCAGAACACTATGGTGACTGAGCCCAAACTGCAGCCTCACTTGTTGTGTGGCCCTGGTCAAGATATTTAACTTCCCTGTGGGCCTCAGTTTTGTCATCTGACCTCATAAAGTTGTTACGAGAATTAAACAACTTATATAAAGCACATGGAATAGTGCCTGGCACACTGTAACCTCTATATAAGTCTTGGCTGTTACTCTCATTTTTTTTCTTGCCTTAAGTTTTCCATAGCCTTCTAACTGGTATTCCTGCTTCCACACTACCATCTGTCCTCCACTCAGCTGCCAGAGTGACAATAAAATGTAAGTCAGGTCATGTAATTTCTCTGCTTAGCACTCTCCAGTGATTTCTTACTTCAGAATCTTTACAGTGGCCTGCAGGGCTTACCTGATGTGCCCCTACCCCAACCCCATGATCTCTTGCCAGTCTTCTCACTCTCTCTCTGCCCTTCTCTGTGGCCTCCTTGTTATTGTCCAGCTGTGCTAAGTGCACTTCTGCCTCAGGGACTGAATCCTTGCTGTTCCTTCTGCCTGCATTGCTCTCCCCCATTTATCCATACCTCTTTATTTACTTTTAATCAACAAGTAAAAATCGTATATGTTTATGGTACACAGCATATTTTGATATATATGTATATACACATTGTGGAATGGCTAAATCAAGCTGTTTAACATGTGCATTACCTCACATATTTATATTTTTGTGTTTATCCATACCTCTTTAACTGGTAGCATGCCCACCCTGTAACTTTTCTCTCTCCTTATTTAGTTTCTTCTTGGCACTATTCCCCACCAGAAATATTACATATTTATTCATTTTTGACCCCATTAAAACTTAATATCCATTAGAATAGGAACGTTGTCTATTTTGCTTACTACCCTAAACCTGGAACATAGCCTGGCATATAATAGGTGCCCAGTAAACAGTTAAATGAAAGACTGAACCAAATATGGTAGAAGTAATGATCTTCTCTTTCTTGTTTGTTACAATGGGTCAGTTACTGCCACTTTGGCAGGAAAGGAAAATGTTATGCACAAAAAAGTGACTGGATGGTCTCACCTACCAGGAAAAGCACTTTTGTGGAGGATGCTGCTTTCATCTGTCTGTAAAGTGTTGATTCAGCCTCCTCTCTTTCTGTTCCCAGGAATTGTAGAGAAGCCCTCTCAGAGATTAATAAGAGGAAATCCAAACTCTTGGGGTTAATAAAAGTATCATCTGTGCTTCATTGGAAAGTCAAGAATGCAAAAACCAAATCTATTCTGCCTTGCTGTAATTCTCAACCTGACAAGTCAGATTATATTTACACTGACGGTTTTCCCTGTGTCACATGAAAATTTGATCTATCTAGACTTTATTTCTGCAGAAGAATAAAACGAGAGCCGGCTTGCAATAGCTTAGCAACCCAAAATGTTTTAATGGGAGAAATGAATGGAAGGGCTTAATCATAGTACGATCCGATAGATTTTACTACTGTTCCTTCTTAATATTTAATAAAGCCCCTAGCACAGTGCCTGGCACATGGTACACTCCCAGTAAATGTTAGAATATATAATATACAAAAGTGTATAAAGCATATGTCAACTTGAATTTGGTTTATGTGGGGTGGTCTTTAGATGTTTTTATGGCATATTTATAGCAGTCAGTAAGGTTTTACTTGTATTTAGAGGAATACTGTCATGCACACATTTATAATCATGTAGTTACACTACTCCATGGTTTCTGCTACTGTGGGGGCATAACATGAAATTATATGTAGTATTTCAGAGTATCCATTGTTAAGGACATAATTCGAACTTGCCAGTGTCAGGAAGTGCACAAAAGTCTGCTGCTCGCTGTGACACTCACAAATACATTTTGACTACAGTTTAAGACCCGCAATATTTCCTCAGTGGGCATGAAAATTCCAGTCAATATTTTATTCGGGGGTTGGAAAAATAAATGGAAAATTCCAAATAAGTGAAGGCACAATGTAAATTCACCACAGGGTTTGCTACCTTAAGGTATGCTATCATACCTTACATAAAATAAGGCACAAATAAAAGCGATGGAAATATACTAAAAATTCTTTCAGAGGACATCATTTCATATTTATTTGACTCAAGTGCTATGAATGAAGTGAGATAATTTGGAGTATTATTGACCTCACTATCTTTAACAAGTACCAAGAACTATTAATGCATATATTCAACTTATTAAGCAAAAAGCCTGTTGAGTTATTACTGACAATTTTTAAAGTGTTCTCAAATATTTTATGTATGAAAATACAGTTGGAACAGGGAGTTACCAGTTTCTTTGAGAAGGAAATGAATAACAAGGAACCACTAAGTTAGAGGCGGCAGCAGAACAGGATCTAGCAACTGTGGCAGATGATGGGTTGGTGGTAGTGTGTCTCGGCCTTAGACCACTGGGTGGCTTTAGAAAGATCCCATCCCACTCTGAGCCTTTGTGTCCAGAGCTCTGAAACAAAGGGGTTGGAGTAGATGCCCACCACACTCCCACAGCCCAGGCTGAACTTCAGACTTCTATTCCTTCCCTCCAGCCCCTGGCCAGTCAGCATGGACAGGGTAGGGGCACAGAAAGAGTCGTCATGCAGAGGCTCAATGCTGAGGACAAGAGTCCTGACTTCAAGGAGCTGAAAATCAGATGAGAAAGAAAAAAGTAAAGATATATTTTGTGATAAGTAACTACCCAGCTGGCCTTCTGGCTGATTGAGACCGTCTTGTGTGGAGTGTCTTGAGAGGAAGCAGGCTTTGGAGAAAGATGGACTAAAAATCACAGTAGCCAAAGTTGATCTGAATTAAAGGCAGATCTCAAGAAGTTACACAACCATATTTTATACCTTAAGTCAGTCGTAAGTTTATCTTTGTTTAATATTTTAGGCTCCCTACCACAAAAATGATATGACTAGCATGCAAATATTGGCACATGGCTTCATTTTTTCTAGGTCAAGCCTCGATTTTCTGAGTATTTCATTCTTTCCTGATCATCTTTCACAACAAAACAGTGAAGAGCCATTCCTTGCGTCCTGTGTGGATACACTAAATTCACTCTAAATCCTTGGACAGGGGACCTGTGTCTGGGCTTACAAAATGGCCTTTACCTGTAAATGAGAATACTGCCTTTTGTCTGTGTTTTTCACCAGCTAGTAGAGTAGCACATGCCCAGGGCACCACGGCCACCCATCTTGTGGACTCACTAGATACACACATGTGAGTCTTCTGGAGGCCTGGATGCGGTTTCGGGCTTGCATCTACCTGAGCAGGCAGGACGTTTCCTCTGGTGTGAGTCCTGCCCCTCACCTGTTGGATCTACCTGGGGAACCTCATTCTCCTCATCTGTACACTCTTTCAAGCAACTGATACTTACGGAGTGCTCACTTTGTCTCAGGTACTGTTCTAGGCACTGGGGATACACAGTGAACAAGACAATCAGAAACCCCTTCCTGCATCCTACTGGGAGTAAAAACAACAGAAATTCATGGCATATGTTTGTTTTCCGGTTATTAGGAGGGTCCGATCTGAGAGGGTCCTAAAAGGTGCACAGTCCTGTGACAGTACACGCGACTTCACTCCTGGTGCAGCTCACACGCCTGCCCTCCCTCACGTAAGGAGAATTGAGTGCATGCTCGTGAGTGCTTACTGAAGTGGACATTCAGGCTGGGGCCAAAGTCTAACTTCCTTGTGTAATTTCTTCCTCGTGGACTGTAAGGGTTGAAACACATATACAGGGTTGATTTCATGTTCTGCTCCTTTTCCCTCTGAGGGTTGGTGACTTACGGCTGGTGGCCTGCTCTGCCTCTCTGGTGACAGGTGCTGTGTCTGCAGTCCAGTGTAACTGGCTCTGGAACATGGCTCTGTCCTCTTTGTGGATCAGCTCGAACACACTTTGATAGATGACGTCTGACTGCAAAAACCAAGGGCAGCGTCACACTCCTGAGGCTGCTTCCCACCTTCCTGAAGCCAGTGTGACTCATTCACCTCAAATATCCCTGAGCCAGTCCAGCCCCTCCCATGTCCTTCCCAGGGGACCAGGCATGCTGTCCTTCCC